ATCTTAAGGTTGAACTTCAATCCCCTTTCATATTTTTCTTCTGAAAAAAAATCCACTACTTGCTATTCTGTCACATGAAATTAACATTCCCTTCCCTGCAATCACACTCCACTTATCTTTCAAGATTTGCTTCAGTATTATTCTCCCTGTGAAGTTCTCCTTGACTCTGATCCACTTCAGACTGCCCCCAACCAATCCTGTTCCCTTGCCCAGGAAGAGTTTATCATTTTTGCTATTCTATAGTGTCATTTACTGAATATACTATTTTGCAAACTGCTGGATCTATGTCCTCATACCATTATACACATTTTGAGGCCAGGGGCTCTGGGGAAAAGAATGCAGGTTCTGCAGCTTGATCGTATGAGTATAAATCCTAGTGTTAGCATTTTTTACTATATCAACTTTGTCAAGTACTGAAATTGATGGGACTAGGAAAAATATTTCGTAAGATTATAATGAGGGGCTGGGGTTGTGGCTTAGTGGTAGAGTGCTTGCCTAGCACGTGCGAGGCCCTGGGTTCAATCCTCAGCACCACATAAAAATAAGTAAGTAAAATAAAGGCATTGTGTTCAACTACAACTAAAAAATAAATATTAAAAAAAGATTATAATGAGTAGTAAGTGAAGCAGTAAATGAACCCAAGTGAGACACTTAGCATGAAGCACAGGCTCAATAAAAGCTAGCTAGTTTTATAAAACATATAGAATATAGCAACAAAGATCGATTAAGCATATTCTATATGCCCTGTTCTCAAGATTTGCATGCATTATTTCTTATAAATCTACAAATTATTTTACTGATGAGAAAGCTTGGTTTCCAAGAAGGCAAGTACCTCTTGGATGCTTGTTTTATTAATCACATGTTTACTAAGGTTGCTATAACAGAACAGCATAGACTGGATAACCTAAACAATAGGAATTTATTTTCTCACAGTTGTGGAAGATGGAAGGTCAAAGCAAAACAGCAACATGTAGAAGAACCAGGATTTGGACTGAGATTTAGATGATCCAAAACAGACTGTTTCTGTTTTGACATCTCCAAATGCCAATACTGAAGGCAGGGTAGGGTGCTCAATTAATATTTGTTGGATTATTTAGTCATTATAATTATACTAAATTTTAAAAATAATTTCTAAAATTTTATCTATTTAATTTTATTTAATGACATTTTAATCAATCAAATTGCTTAATTTAGAATCGTCTACTTTTCAGGCCTAAGGAATTTTTTGCTAATTTTTTCCCCACTTTTGAGGACCTGTGATCACACAGACTGTGCCTGTTTCAGCTATTTATATTAAGAAGCTATCAGGTCTTTCTTTCTTCCTTTCTTTTTTTTTTTTTTTTAAAGACATTTAACTGGCAGACAAGACTTCAGATCAGTGAGAAAAGAATCTCAGTTGCCAAGCTGATTGATACACTGACTCAAAATTTATGTCAAAATATATCTTATGGATATATGAATAGGGAAAAACACTAACAGTCTTATATTAAATTCATTCAGCAAGTAATGCCAGATGTGGACACAGAAGTCAGTGGTTACCAGTGTACACATTTTTCTTCATTTTTTGGGAATGGAAGCATATATGTGTCAAAAAATGGAGAGTATTTTTATTTATTTATTTACTTAATTATTAGTATCTGGGATTGAACCCAGGGACTACTCTTAACCCCTGAGCAATTCCCAGCCCCATTTTTATTTTTTATTTTGAGACAGGGTTTTACTAAGTTGCTTAAGGCCTCCCTAAGGTGCTGAGGCTAGCTTAAAACTTGGGATTTTCCTTCCTCAGCCTCCCACACTGCTGGGATTACGGGCATCTGCAACCACACCTGGCAAAAAGCAGAGTATTTTAAAAGATGGTAAAACCCATCAGATTTCTCTCACTCACACATATGAATGTAAGAACACACATCAGATGCCCACTTGAAAGCTACTGCAGGTACAAAGAGTATTTGACATGATGTGCTAATCTTTCATCAGTTGTTTATTAATGGAAAGTCTTCACTGTATTGCATACGTTATTAGCCCTTCCTATAAAATGTTTTTCTTCATTTCAAATACAACCCCAAACTACATGGAGATTAGTGACTTAAAGTATTCTACCACTGAATTACATCCTCAATCCTTTTAATTTTATTCTGAGACAGGGTCTTGCTAAATTGTTGAGGCTGACCTCGGACTCGCGATTCTCCTGCCCCATCCTCCAGAGTAGCTGGGATTACAGGGTGTGTACCACCATGCTTGGCCAACTAAAGTATTTAAAAAAAAAAATAGAAGTTCACACCATTTGTATCTATCAAGCAAAGTCCATCATAACGGCTTCTGTAGGGAATTAATTTAATTAACACAAACCTTATTTATATTACTTAGATGAACTTCAATGATGCAGTATAGGGTCAAATCAGGCCACATGCTCATTTAGAGTTTTCTGGTACAATACTGCTCCATTTACATAAGAACTCTTAATGATTTTTAAATGTTTATTTAGTTCTAAAAATACCACATATTAAGGTATGTTTTTCCTGAAAGATATGCCATCAAATGATGTTTTCCTCCATTAAATATTTAAAACAAAAGAGAAAAAAATCTTTTTTTAAATAATAATTTTACAACAGTGATAACTTACCATAGTTACTTAGCCTTTCTAAAAATACTATATACTTTTCTGGGACATACATAGGCCACATTAGACAAAAGATGTTTTTGAACATTCAGAATATATTAGAAATAATGCTTATTTTCATTTAAGATAATAGTCATTTGAGGAACGAAGTTATAAACTAAAAAAAAAAGATTTAGAAGTTTACTCGCAGATTTTTAAAATCATTAAGTCGCATTTTGCATAATATAATTTTTAAAGTTTGCCATTTTTTCTTTAAATCTTGCAGGAAATTGTTTTATAGTGTACATGTTTCTTCTGGAAAATGGTACTATTTATTGTTAAGCACATTTTAATATAAATGTAGAACTCATTTTTAAGATGAAATTAGGAATCGTTAACGATTGTCATTAGTTGAGCAGTGTTCTAATGCATACCCTTTGCTCCCAAATGGCAGGTGCAATCTTTCACATTCAGGCAGCTCTCTCGTAATATAATATGCTGCCCTCTCTGCTCCTTCCCTCAGTTCATTTCAGGGGAAGAGGGAGAATTTAATCCTCTGCATTTGAAAGAGGAGAGGGGCAGGAATAATGTGGTGCCTTCTTTCTCCTTTTTAGGGAGCAATTGCCTTGGCCCTCTCCTTACCCCTTGGGGAGCTGTTCTCCGCCCCTTTTCAGCTTTTGACTGAGGGGCACCTCTGCCTTATCCGGAGGAGGAGGAAACTCACTTGCAGTTAGAGATACGCCTCTTCCTGTTTTATTAGTTTAATCAGAAATAAGGGTGATATTTTGCACTCTAATCTGCCTTACTCTTTTTCCGTTCTCAGCTGATTCAGAACTTGGGTAGTGAAAAGGGTAGTTTTAACCAAGCTCTTTCAAATCTTAGTGAAAAGGCACACTTTACTCCTGTTATCCATTGCAGTCTCCCCTATCCATAGATGTGAGGGAAATAAGACAAAGGTGATTAAATAATTTGTGTAATTAAGCATGTCTTTCATGTTCAAAGCAAGTCAATTAAAGTTGGATTAAACTGTCCCCTTCAAAGCTGGGAGGGGGGAACAAGCCATATATTTCCTGCAGAGGAGAGTTTTAAATTTCTACTTGTCCACACATCTATGTAAATATACAAACATATATACTTATGTGTAGTGTGTGTATATAGAAGTACACATATGTGTATATATATATATATATATATATGAATAATTTTATTCAAAGAATCCTTACCTTTTGTATTCTTCTATTCAAAAGAAAATAGAAAAACCAAAACTGCATGCACTGATTTCCCATTATCTTTGTGGAACTGACATTGGACAAGTATTAACACTTGTTCTAATACCCAAATTATTTCCATATGATACTGTTCTTCTCTTATATATTTAAAATATGCCACAGTTTCATGCAAATATGCAGAAAAAGTCATATATTTGCAAAATTTTCAAATGACAGAAGTAGGGGCACCAAACTGTGACAGTTCTTCATTTGGGTTGTCATTTCAAGAGATATAATATTTTTTGAACACTCTCACACGTTTTTAAAAAGAGGTAAAGAATCCACTCCTAAAAAAAACACAGATGTTGCAATGTCAAGTAGCTGGTTCTAATAAAGAACTCACTACATAGGAAATCAATACAAGATAAATAGCTTTTTTCCTAGTTACTAGAACACCTACTCTACTGCTTTTTAAAACAAACAGTATCAGCACTTTTAGTGTTATTTTTGCTGGCTTATATTAAATGCAGGCAATTTCTTCATAAGCTATAAACAGAATATAAAGGTGAGCAACATGAACTCAGGATAAATAGTTCATGAGTTTAAAGATATTTGCAAAGCTTGTTTCTCAAACACAACTATTACACTGTTATGTATTAGAAGGCACAGGATAGACATTTGTTGGTAACATTCTTTGCTAACAGCAAAATAAATAAATAAAATAAATAAACTGGAGTTCTTAATGTCATACATAAAATAAAATTTTTTGCACTTCTACATTTTGAGCCGTGGCACTTTAGATAAAACAAGAGATATATTTTTAATCACATCATTTTAACTTCACTTATCCTATCAATTTCTTTTTCTTTTTCTTTTCTTTTCTTTTCTTTTTGCATAATACCATGAAGTGGTGTGAATCTTTATGTAGAGATAAATTCTGTTCTCATCCTCATCCTAGTTACAGAGGAATATCAACTTCTGGTTTTTGTCAAATGAGCTTCTATTTACAAAAATGTAAATGCATGGGACTCTCTGTGATTTTGGAATATGCACCAAATACTGACTGCTAACAGTTATGAATATTTATCAGTTGGTGTTATTAAAAAGGCAATTTTTTTCCCTTCTCAAGTTTTTGAGTAAACAATTTCAAAATGTTACTCCATCTGTCAATGTTTTCTGAAAACAGTACAAACCTTCTTTTTTATCTTCTGGAGTAATCTTCACTTTTGTATCTGTTATATCTTTGAATGAGGCCAGAAAAAGTACCACATCTCCTTTCTCATTCTTTATAGGAACGATATCCAGTAGGCACCAAAACGGAGACCCTGCAATGATAATGAGAATATAAATCAGCCACTGCCTCCTGTTTTTCCTGTTTAAAAAAAAATTAATAAAAATAAAGCCCTTACTGTTTTTTTCTATCCCATAACTCTCTCCCAACTTAAAATGTCAGTTTTCAGATTCTGTAACTATTTAGCCTAATGCATATCTCTTCATTCCCAAATGAAATGCTTTCCTGTATTCCAAACAAGAACATTCGTTTGAGCTGAGACATTTCTGCTTACAGCATTCAAGTTGTACTTCTTCTTGGAGCTCGATGATATTGAAGCATTCCCCAGTAGGAGAGGCTGCCCCCTCCAACCCCACTTGCACACAGCGGTTCTTAAATGAAGACCTTTGTTTGGTGAGTTTGCTAGAGGTTTCTTTGGTCAATTTAAAAATCAATGATCACCCACTACAATGACTAAATAAAAAAAAGATGAAAAATGCCAACTTTGGGAGGATGCAGAGCCACTTGAACTTTCATACATTGCTGGCTGGCTTCATATGAACATCTGTTTTAAACACCGTTTTGCAGTGCAAAGATTTCTTATCATAATATAACATTATATGTCAATGTGAATGATTTATAATTATCCACAACTCAATGGATGAATATCACTAGCATAATGTGCAAAAGTAACAAACTCAAATGAGTAGAATGAAATATGAATTCATTTACATTAAGCACAAAAACAGACAAAACTAACCATTGGTGTTGAAAGTCAAGATTAGTGGTTATCTCTGAGGAAAGGTGATAGAAAAGCACATGGAGCAGAGTTCTGGGATGCTTAAGTTTTATATCATGATATTTATGTTGTTTACACAGGAGCATTTGATAATGAGTATTTTTCAATGTGTATGTTATATTTTGAGAATCTATTATAAAAATTAAAATCAGATCAATTTCACACTTGAAAAAAAAAAACATGAGGAATATCATTAAGACTTAAGTTCAATATATGACAGCCAAACGGTCTTGCCTAAGGCTTATATTTTTAAATATTTTATCTATTTTAAAATATGTATTTTAAAACTATGTAAAATTTCTTGAACTTTAAGTCCTAATGAAAAGGCTTTCGGCACAGAAATATCTGAAAATGATGGAATATTTGTTGCTTAATTAAAAATTAAACTGTATGCTGAGCATGGTAGCATACACCTGTAATCCCAGTGGCTCAGGAGGCTGAGACAGGAGGATCGCAAGTTCAAGACCAGTCTCAGTAACTTAACAAGGCTCTAAAAAATTTAGTGAGACCTTGTCTCAAAATAAAAAATCAAAAGGGGTTGGGGATGTGGCTCAGTTGTTAAGTGCCCCTGAGGTCAATCCTAAGTACAAAAAGTAAATAAATAAAATTTTATTTATTTATTTATTTTTTTTAAAGAGAGAGAGAGAGAGAGAGAGAGAATTTTTTTTTTAATATTTATTTTCTAGTTTTCGGCGGACACATCTTTGTTTGTATGTGGTGCTGAGGATCAAACCCGGGCCGCACGCATGCCTGGCGAGCGCGCTACTGCTTGAGCCACATCCCCAGCCCCAAATTTTATTTTTTTATTTTATTTTATTTTTTAATTTGTTTTAATTAGTTACAAATGACAGTAAAATGACCTTGACATATCATACATTTGAATCACATGGGATACAATATCTCATTTTTCTGAGTATACAGGTTGCAGAATCACATTGGTCATGCATTCACATATATACACACAGTAATAATAATGTCTGTTTCATTCTACTATCCTTACTATCTCCCCTCCCTCCCCTCCCCTCCCATCACTTCTTTCTACCTAATCTAAGGTAGCGCTATTCTTTTTTTTTTCCTCACATCTTCATACATGTATTTTGTATAACAATGAGGGTCTCCTTCCACCATCCATGAAATTCCCTTTCTCCCCAAATTTTAAACTGTGGATCTCTATTCATCTATTCACACATAATTTTCCTTCATTTCTATGATGGAAAAATAAATACTTCAATACAGTGAATTTCCACTTATTTGGGAGTTGACTTCAAAGTCAAGGCAGAAGTTAAAAAATAAGAGTCAGAAATAGTTTTGATATTTTTGACTTATTTTGTATATAGTGTATTAGATTTCATGACTTTCACCATAGCCAATATACCCATCCAGCCATGGGGTCTTTTTTTTTTTTCTTTAGTTGAGCACTATATGAATTCATTGACATATTTAGAGGTCATTTGATATAAAAATCATATTTTTATTGCAGCTGCCATTGTATTTCTTTAAAAGCATGGATGACTTCATATGCAATAAATGTGTATAGGATATGCTGCTATCATTAAGTATGCATGGAATATACCAAATATCATGAGGTGTGCATGGAATGTAATAAGGTATGTCTGCCTCCCCACACCTTCCTTATAGTTTCAGAGTCATTAGTTCTTCCTTACTCTTTTGACTCAAACCTATGGTTTCCCTTTTCATTCATCTGCCCTCATATCTATGCCTGGGTGATCTCATTTCAACATTTCATCACCAGGCTCCACGAAACTTTGGATCTAAGCGTGGCTCCAACACTAACAAGCCATGTGACTATGAGGAAGTCAATTAACCTTTCTGGAAATTGGTTCCCTCCATTGTAACATTCCCACATCCACATCTATTGTGGATAAAGTAACCCTAAAAATGTGGAGATGATAAATCAATTCTACTGTCTGTGACTAATGGAGAAACCTCATAAATGAGCCATATCCCTGAGCAAATGCTGTTCTCTCCATCATTCCAGAATAGCACTTGTTTAAAATTCTATCTGTAGCTACCATTTAAAGCTGGGAGCCTTTTTTGCTAATGCTATAGCTATAGTAAGAAAAAATAAAATAGAAAATAAAAAGAGCCATCAGGTCAAACTAACAAGCAGATCCTAGAGAAAATAATAGTGGGATGCAGAAAGTGGTATGAATCTGATATTTGGTTCCCATTTTAAGGGCATCTCTCTGTCAATTACCTTGCAAGAATATGACCAACTCATAACAGAAGCTATTAATTTTCCTGCTTTTATGGGTGCACTTAGTCAAGCTTCACTATTGTCTCCGCAGAGCCTTTGCCCGGATGCACCAATGTACTTTGGAAAGAAGCTAAAGCCCAAAATGAGGTGAAAAGCTGAGGAAATAGCTGCCAACGTAGCAATATTTTCTAATCATCTCTCTATGCACACAGATCACTTCCTGTCATGTGCTGGGAGAGCAGAAAGTTTACTTTGAAATTTGTCTTTTAAATTACTAGATGTGATCCTTGACATTTGATGAATTCAATGAGTATGTTGATCTGAATCTCTTTGAATTTAAATTTTATAATGATTTGTCATGAACTAGGATGATGTCTGCATTTTCTGTGCCTATATAACCAAAAAAGTTTATTAGAAAAATAATATAAGGGATTTCCTTCCCTTGCTTCCCGGCTCCTGATCAGCTGCTCCAGATTTATCCACACAAACTCCTTTAAAATTTTGGCTTGTGGTACCTCTAAAGATAGAAAGCAAAGCATATGCCAGTTGCTTCTTTTCCCAGAAAGACAGGATAGATGCCCAAAGCTACCAATCAGGTTTAAAGCAAGACCCTTCACACTTAGCTTTCTCACTTGTCCTCTCTCTGCTTTCCTCAATCTCTCTGCCAAGCCTTCCTCCCTGGCTCCCTGCCGTTCTTCAACCTTGTGTGATTGTAATAATTCAAGGCTATTCCCCAGGGTTGGCTTTTCCCTGCCCTACCCATGAGCACAATGATGACCAACTTCTTTCAGTCAAGAGCAATTCAGTCCCAATGTAATAAATCTCTCACAGGGTTATGGTGGCAGTTAGCAAGTCCCTCAGCCTTGAATTCAGAGATGTGAATGATTCTTAAGAGCAGGGTTAGAGGGCATAAATCTTGTGTCAATTTTAACTCCTTCTGTATATAGCAGCAGTAATTACCACGTGGGCCCCCTGAGTGCTAAAACAAACGAGGATCTGCCAGGATTTAAGTTAATAACACCTCTAATTTCCATGAATAAATACAATTGATGTAGAATAAAACAGGGTTCATACCTTATATGGTAGAGTGTACTTTGGGAATTGAATAAATAGTTACACAAGAGCTTAAATCTAGTGGAATATTCTACAGCTCCATTTTGGTACTTTTTGTTTTTGCTGATGGGGAAACAAGGATACAAGAGAATTTTATTTGCTAATACCTACAATTGCAAGAGGACTCAACTCACTTGCTTTCTGTATACACCCCCCATAAGATTATATTTGGCAGAAAATGGAAATGAATAGTAAGATTTCCAGTATAAGTCCATGGTTTAATAACTCAATACAAGGAGTTACATATATTGAAAGTTGAAGATACAAAAAAAGGTATAGAAAGTTGAATCAAGAGGGATCCTACTCTCTTTAATGACAGTGCTGTCATGATGGGAAAGAGTTTTGTCTCCCAAAAAGTGGGAATGGAAGTAATGGTTCTTCAGTGCAATATCAGGTAAACCCCCCCCCCCCCCCTTCACCAACACCTCTCCAGGGACCATTTCTAGTGCAGTCTATACAGTTTGCAAGTCTTTGCTCAGTGCCCACTGAGTTTACTTTGAGTGAATATCCCAGGGTACCAGTGAACCAAAGTAAATGGGGCCCTGTCACCTGTGCAGCAAGGGAGGACAGAGGGGGATATACAAGAAATGAACTGAACCCATTGGAGACCTCCTTGAACTTGGCAGTCAGTGTTTAATGAAAAATGAGGGGTTCATAAAGAAACGTGTTACATTTGTTTTTGTATTTTAAAAAATGGGGCTGCGGTGTAGCTAAGTGGTGGAGCATTTGCTTGGCATGAGGCCCTATTGATAGTGGTGGATTGTGAGATTGTGGTTTTCTTCTCAGAATATTTATTTTCAGATTTTCTAGAATGGTACCAGAACAGAATTCTGGTATCTCTAGAGATTGGGGTAAAGACATAAAATTAAAATTAAAAATTAGAGTAGCAACAAGAGAGACAAGGTGTTGATTCTGGGGAGATCCC